TGTCACAATGATATATTTGTTTGCTTTCAGAGGTTAATAGTTTTGATGATGAAAAAATATATAAAAAGATAATTCAGTAATATCAAAAAAAAGAGTTATATAACACATTAAGTATATATCACAATAGATCAAAATGTGCATCCAATTGCGACATTTATCCTCAAGGGTAAAATGATATTTTTGACATCTTGAAATAGTCAAATAATGTTTGACATGAGTTTTTGTCATGCATATATGTGTGTGTACTTTTCGAAAAATATTTGAAAGGCAAACACAATTCAATGAACATCACATTGAAGTTCAAATATACTTATTTTTTCTTATTTTTACAAGATTAGCATTTTGTAAAGTTTGAGTCTAGGTGTTGATGTGACAACAATAGCCAACTTCAATTGCATTATAAATAACCATTGGACAGTCCAAAACTTGACTTTCAGCCCACATCTAAAGCAAAATGAGAAGAGGAGAAAGAGAGAGAGAGAGAGAGAGAGAGAGAGAGAGAGAGAGAGAGAGAGAAGGTATCCACACAAGTTTATAGTGAATTGTGATCTAGAAAGATATGCTCAAGCATTCGGAATCTTGTTGTCACAAGCTACTTACACATCCCTAAGTAAAGGAATATCATTAAGCTACATACTAAGTCTATAAGAGTATATATCTTTTATTAACATGAAATTCAGTACATCTAGTACTTTAGTTAGAGCCAATAAATCAAGTACATGCTAATTGGGTCTGTGTTTAGTGGAGGCTTGTTGAGCCTATTATATTCATTGGAGGTTTGTTGAAGATGTTTTATTCTTTGAAGGCTTGTTGAAGCTATGGTATTTATTTGAGGCTTGTTAAGGTTGTTGTATTCATTAGAGGTTTGCTAAGGCCATTGTGGTTGGTGTCGGCTTACTGATGTTATTGTCTTCAATGGAGACTTGTTGAGGCTGTTGTATTCAATAGATGCTTGTTAAAGACATTTATTTTGTGAATTCTTACTAAGGTGGTTTTATTCAATGAAAATTTATTGACGCCATTGGATTCAACATATTTCACTAAAAATTTAGTGGAAAACTTACTGAGGCCATTGGATTCAACATATTTCACAAAAAAATGTGGAACTTACTAAGGCCATTGTTAGTTGAGAATGGAGTAGACCAAGTGGCCTGAATGACTATAATTTGTAGGATATTAAGCCCAAAGTAATAAATAATGTTCAATGAATAAACTAAGAAGATAAATTAAACCCAGATTTTATTTCCTACTATTTAGTAAAACTAACACTATATAACATTTTATCATTCAATGTAAGGTTACACACCTATTGATAACTCAAAAGAAAAGGATACCTTAGCTCTCTCTCCCTCTCTTAAAGGAAAAAACCAGCCACTAGATATAAAGATGCCATAGAAATAATGGAAGGAAAAATTTGGGCTTTATCACAGTTAGAAAAAAATTGATGCATGAGATAATCGTTAAATGTTATAATTAGTGATTGATTTTTTGGTTACTTTAAAATGATTTTAAACGGTCATGGGAATGGTACAAGAATTGCTTAAAAGTGGTACAGATATCAACCATTTCATTAGTTTTCAGGCATTAAAAACATTGTACATGCTTCCAACAATTTTTTATTTGATTATTGGAAGTGAAAATCATAAAATAACTTGTTGAGGGGGCATTTCTTATGATTTCAGTGATAATCAACTTGATATAATGAATTCATAAATGAATTTGACTATTATATTTTTTAAAGCTAATTTTATGGATTTTATCATTGAAATTACTCAGACACAAACAATTATTTTCATTAAGGAAAAATAAGTTCAATTATGAATTCAAAAAACCATTTGATTTATTATCAAAAATTACACCAAAGGGAAAAAACTGTATTCTTTGTAATTGTGTCCTATTTTTTCTCTTCCTTTTTATTGATAATTCACTCTTGTTGATCAAAATTTTAATTAATTACCCTATATAAGATCCCATATTTTCCTATTATTTTCCTTTATTTTTCATTGAGCAGTGATATCATGTAGGAGAATGACTCTTTTAAACTTTATCTAAGTCCTTACATTATCAATATTCACCATTATAACTATAGGATAATTTTGGGAACCTTTTGTGATCTAGATTGTCTAATTAAAGACAATGATTGACATGTTTCTAGACATTGGCTTCATGAGAGAAGTATTTTTTTTTCAGTCGAGTTTAGTGAAGACCTAAACTATCCCTCACACTACAACTGATAACATTTCTTTGCAGGTCTCTATGTTTGATAGATATAAATCCAAAATTAAAAAGAATTTTACTTTAATAGGTTTTATGACCAGCTTTGAAGAGGCTTCGAGTTTTTCTCAATGCCCAACTAACTCATTGTTATAGGCCCACGAATACCATTGTGATGAGAAGAACTCAAGTGTGAATTATCAAGACTCGACCTGATGAGAAAGTTCAAGCCTTTCTCTCTCACTTAAGATGGTGGAGATAATCTGTGTTTAGAATGTCTAATATCTAACAAAAGTTGATAACTTAGGATGCCCTCTAACTCACTTGATTCTTCTAACTTGGATAAGTTTACAAGTTAGTTATTTCCTTTTCTTTATTCCTCTAATTTTAGCATAAGTTTAGTACTGAGCAAGACTTGGGTCATGTTGAAGAGGCTCAAATAATATCTAAGGTGAGGTAACTTACATGTTGAGTGGCTGCAGAATCTGGTAGGATTGTTTGGGTAGCTTCAAGATTAGAGTCATAAAAAAATAGTGAGATAAAAAAAAAGGAAAATTGGAATGCAAACACAACTTATTAACGTGTGGTGATGTGCATGACAATGATCGAATATGATGATTATTGCATTGCCAGAGCTCTGATGATCTGGTATCAAATTAGCCTTATGGAGCCATGCCTGCAAGAAATTGAACATTGCAATGAAAGCAACAGGAACAGTGGAAATTTTGAAGATCGCATCAGATGCAGTAATTCGTAAGTTTATGGAAACAATGACAATGCTCATGAAAATATGGTGAGAAATCATTCAAGTCTCGTGAGAAAATCTTCGAATAATTTGAAACTACATGAGTCTTCATGGTCCAAGTGGAATAAAATGTGCTCATTTTTGTACTAGAAGGTGACAACGAATCTATCAAGCCAAGCTAAATAACTTATGCTTGGGTTCGTATATTATGGCCATGCCATTTGGATGCTACAGGTTAACCAATGGGTTTCTTGATGCCATATTTTAAGAGCCCAAAATGCACGTGGGTTCCAAGGAGAGCGAGGGAATCTTTTAGATTAATTAAGTCGGCCATTGCCTAATCTAGGCTTAGACATTAGCAAAATCAGTTTAAGGTAGTTTTAATTTAATTATGCCCCTGAATTTCTGTGTGACTAGGTTTTTGGTAACCAGCCATATTCTTCTTACGTTTCCTAATCTTCTGTGTGACACGGCTTAGACGGCCGTGTCTGTCTGATTTTTTGGGCCCCACCTTCCGCTGAGTAGAAGACACTGAGTTATTGCAGGATTCGGGAGGAATCTAACTTTTGGTTAATTGTCGAAGAAGAAAGCATCTATTCCCTTCTTCCCTTGAATGCCATGCATCTCCACTCGTTTGGCGGCGGAGGCCTGTGTGAGATGCATTTCCGCTCATGTGGACCTCATTAGCCTTAGTTAGAGAGATAAAGGGGAGAGCGATGGATGGATGGAGAGAGGGAGAGAGCTTAGAGACTAGAGAGAGATTGGGTAGAGGAATGAGAGAGGGAAGAAGATGGTCATAGAGGTAGAGTAATGGATGAGAAAGCGGGAAAGAAGAGCGGAAGAGGATGAGAGACAGAGAAGTCGAGAGGGAGAGAGGGAGAGAGGGAGTGAGAGAGAAAGAGAGAGAGGTGAAACTTTTCGCTGCTCGTACTCATCCTCTTCACTTTTTGAATGTGGGTGCTGTCGGACCCGGGGCTTTGACCTAGAAAACAACTGGAGGCGTCTGTGATGGGCACCGCTGTGACGCGTGCATGGTAGAGACAACCTTCTCTTCTACAAAAGCCACGGCTGATGCCCCCAACGAGGTCCCCCCGCATCCCACTCAACACCGGGTGCTCCTCTTCCAGCAACGAGGATCTCCACAAAGACGTGGAGCCCTTTCCTCGTCCCCGGTTCCGTCCATCTTTACGTGACCAGGCTAGTGTTTTCCAAGGCCACGCTGAGGTCAGCCCTAGCTCGTCCCCACCTCCGTTCAACTGAGTCATTTGCATGCGGCCAAATGATCTCACCAAGAAATCTGTCAATTAATGAGCAGGTGTGCATGGTCCAATTGGTTCAGGGTCAACATAGATGGACTAATTATGGGTTTACTTATTTAGGGTTGTTTCAGGGGTAGTTGGCCACATCGAAAGAAAGCATGACCTCAAAACTTTAATAACAGTTCAATATAATGGTTTATGTTTACTGGCAAGACGTGAACATTTATCGCTATGTAGTCGTAAGGACTCTACGTCCACATCATGACTGACCTCTCTCTCCCGCTATACATGTCTGAATGCTATCGTCACACTTTACCGTCGCAATATCTATGACATTTTGGAATTATTATTTTCTCTTGACGCCATTTGTTTAAGCAAGGGAATGATTCGAGTATGTGGCGAAAATCAATTGAGGGGAGTGCATTCTCATGCAGAGGGAGGGACGAGAGTTGACGTAGAGAGAGAGAAAGATATATATAGAGAGATACAGATACATAAAAGAGGAAGGAGAGAGGGCGGAGAGAGAGAGAGAGAGAGAGAGAGAGAAGGGGGGGAGGGAGAGGGAGAGGGGGAGAGACTTTAGGCTAAGGGAGAGGTAAGTCGGTGGCTTTTATTGCAATTAGTATAACGTCTACAGCGCTTTTCCTATCAGGTAAAGAGACGGAGATCCAAGGCAGACTCACCTTCAAGAACGAACCCTATTCTCCAATTTATGCCCCGCACACACAGCCATCCTTTGTTCTTGGATCTCCAATTCTTCTGCTGAGAGAGGAATAGAGAGAATGTTCCAGGCCAAGAAGGCTTGTATGAATTCCCACGAGAGGCCCATGTGCGTGCAGGGGGACTCAGGGCTCGTCCTTACCACCGATCCTAAGCCCCGCCTCCGCTGGACCGTCGAGCTCCATGATCGCTTCGTCGACGCCGTCAACCAGCTTGGAGGCCCCGATAGTCAGCCCCTCCTCCACCCAGCTGATCTCTTCTCGCATCCAATCGCCAGTAAGGAGATCTGACATCTTCTCTAATCTTGCAGAGGCCACTCCTAAAACTATCATGAGAGTTATGGGCGTCAAGGGTCTCACTCTCTATCACCTCAAGAGCCATCTTCAGGTAAATAACCTCAAGAGCCACCTTCTAAAACAAGGCGCTTGTTTAGGTTTTGACTTGGCTTCAACACCAATTCACAACTCCGCCGTAGGAATTCCAGACAACTACGATTGTTTCACTTGGTTTCTGGCACTTTCCTCGCAGAAATTCCGACTGGGGAAGCAACCGCATAAGGAGTTGAACGATCACAACTCGGCCAAGGACGCTGGCGGAAGAGGTAATTTACATGGCTCTTCTTTACAGACGCGTCAGAATGAACACCATCTGATGATGTTACTTCTTCACTTCCAATGGCAGCTGTGTCTCTAGATTTCCAGGGGAATGCGGCTTCCTCGTCTGGAATAATGGGTAGAGCCACAAATGAGTAAGTTACACAATATCCTATCGTCTCTTGGGGGAATTGGGCCTTTTCCATTGTATCTCCTGCCTTGTTCTCAGCGAGGATGATCGGAGTAAGAAACTAACAAGAAATGCAAAGAAAGGTTGAGGATATAGAGATGGGTAGTCAGAGAGATAGATAGGGAAGCAAATAGGGACATGAACAACACGGGAGATGAAAGAGAGAGAGATATAAAAACAGAGGAGAGCTAGGGCGGGAGAGAGAGAGAGAGAGAGAGAGAGAGAGAGAGAGAGGGAGGTAGAGAGTTCGCATGTACCAATATAGGTTTAGAATGAAAATTTTAACATTCAAGGGATTGAGGCGTCTGTTCCCTAATTTAGCAGGAACTATCACATCACGGAAGCGCTGAGGATGCAGATGGAAGTGCAAAGACGATTGCATGAACAGTTGGAGGTGAACTATTTGAAGTCTCCTAAACCCGCTTATAAGTTCTCTTCAGCGGTGGCATTCAGAGTTAGGGTTGTTGTCCGCGGCGCAGGTGCAGAAGCATCTTCAGATGAGGATCGAGGCCCAAGGCAAGTACATGCAGACCATACTGGAGAAGGCCTGTCAGACGCTGGCGAAGGAGAATACGGCCGCTGGTGGCGCAGAGATGTGCTTCCTCAAGGACATGGGTTCCCCACTGGGCTTCCCTTCCCTTCACGATCTTCACCTCTACGCCGGCGGTGTGCACCATCTCGTGGACGAGTCCTCCAGGGGGGAACTGACACACATGGACTCGACGACATTGAACACTGGTAAGCCGATCTTCTCCCCTGACCACAGGGGTGAGACGAAGCCCGAGATGTCGTCACCCTCCGCCGCTAGCCCCGTCGTCAGAACGGCCGCCATCTCAGCGAGAAATTTGTCTTATGGGTGAGGGGGAGGCTGAATCATCACGTACTTTTGAAAATGAATGCCCCCAATGGGATCTATCTCTATGGATGGGTCCTTCCTCTTCCCTACGCTTCTTCTATCTATTCTCCATGAATTGAACTTTTCTTGTTAGAATCCAATCGATATCACTAGTTAGAATTGAAACTCGTTGTTCGTGAATCATATTTTTTTCTGCATAACCGCACCAGAAGCCTCACTTTAGTCATATTTTTACTGCAGCACTATTTGGCATAGTTCTCTACTCGTAGACTCGCTTTAAATGAGTTTGTTATGGGTTGGAACTCAACCAAGGGATGGAGCTTGGAGTCCAATTTGACCATACAGCTCATTATAACCTAGGTATTTCTTGTACTTTTAATGTCGCACCATCCTAACCTACCTTCTCGAAGTTTGACTTTTTTATGTCATTAACAGTGGGGAACTGTCTAGCAAGAACTTAGGACTATCCAACTCAAAATGGATCACTAAATGAGTAAAACGGTTTCATATCTTTAACTTAATACTTCAGCCTATACTATTCAATTTGATCAGGTTTTAAACTAGATCACACGATGAACGTTGTTGTGCGAAATCGAATTTCATGAGACATCTTTCAAAATCCTGGGCGTGAGTTTTTGTGCGGATCTTTCTTGATTTCAGGAATTCTTTTGGAGTCGGTTGATCTCATCATTACTCACAGTAACTTTTGGAGATGGGTTCATTCATGTTACATAGCACCGCGAAAACCCAGGTTTTCTTGTTCTCTGCGGCCGATGAGAAAGGTGAAGGGTCATGTTACAAACTGAAATCTGGATTTATTTTTCAGCTGGAGGATGGGGAATGTAGATATAAACATCGAGAGATAGATAGATCAATATATAGATATATAGAGAGAGAGGAAGAGAGGGGAAGAGCGAGAATGAAGGAGGGAGAGTGGGAGAGAGAAAGAAAGGAGAAAAGAGAGAGGGGACCGACAGATGGCATCTCCAAGATCTTTTTTTCTCTTTTGGGCATACTCCGATCTCTCTTTTGATTACAAGAATGCTATTATCAACTATTTGGTGTGGAACGAAAGAAAAGTAGATTCATCTCGCGTTTACATATGTAATGAACTCTATATATATATACATTAATGCAGTAGAAGACCCTCTTTCGAATCTCTGGCCCGTAGGAGAAAGGCGATAAAGAGGTTTCATGGTGCAGCCTGGCTTTCTCGATTGCAGTGAAATTTGATGAGAGAGCCGAGAGGAGGGATTGGAGAGAGAGAGATAGCGAGAGAGAGAGAGAGAGAGAGAGAGAGAGAGAGAGAGAGAGAGAGTGCAGGATCGAGGGAGATGAACGAAGGAGGTCGTCTTCTATGGAAGACAAAGCACCTCGGATTCCATTTGGTCTCTTTTGACTGCAGCTTTCGGGAGCGGAGACGTTTAGAGATGAGGAAAGTACAACGGGTTGGGTGATAGGGAAGCTTCCATTCCTTCGGGTATCGGATTCTAAGCCCCTCTTACCCCCCCCTCCCTCTCTCTCTCTCTCTCTCTCTCTCTCTCTCTCTCTCTCTCTCTCTCTCTCTCTCTCTCTCTGTTAGTCTCTCTGTCTCAGCCCCCCCTATCGTGCATGAACGCGAAAATCTTGAACGAGACGACACCCAACTGAGGACAATCAAATTTATGTTTCTGTTTAGCAATGGAAGATCAGTAACTAAATGTCAACCATAGTCGCGACTTCGGTTCACAGATCTTCGGAGAAATCCCAGGACGCGGATCACTTCGCCTACATACGCAGGGATCTCTGCCATAGCTTTATCCTGAACAAACTCTCTTCTTTCCCCGTGTGTGTGTATCCAGATGATAGAATCAAGTTAACTGTGAGAAATCTGGAAAAATATTCTTCAGAGGTTTTTCTGATCGTTCTTCAACTGAGTTCATCTATTTAATTCCACATCAAGTAAACACTCCAGCAACTGCTTATCAGAAATAAATCTGATGAATCTGTATCCATAAATTTATGAAGAAAAGGGTTATCTGTAGAAAAAAGTTCATCTATTTATATACCTGTGTCATTGGGCTCGGAAACCCTACAAGCTTGGCCCAGCTAGGTGCTCACCTTGACCTAGCCCAGACTGTGTCCAGGCTTGATGTAGGAATAGAAAATTTCTATGTTCCTTCTCCTCACTATTAACACGTCGCTTTTAATTGTTCTCCGAGTAATTTCTGCATTCATACAATACAATAAAATACCTAAAATCATGAAAATAATGAAGTGTCTTTCTTCCCAATGCACTTAATATTCCTTTAACTACCTATAATCTGAAAAATCTAGTTATCCTTAACATGGCATATCTCATGTGCTACTAAACATATTTTGATTCTACAATATTTGTGTCATAATATACTGACCTTCGAAATAATTTAAGACACCACAAAACATTATAGAAGACTTAAAACATACCCTACTCCATCTTAATCTTTAGGGCAGGACTAAGAAGGGAGTGTTGATATATAAAATTTTTATAAGTCTCAATAAGACTTATGGAACAAGTAGGTTTACAAGAAAGTTGTAGGCGCAACTTATTGTTTAGAAAAATCAATAAGTAATCTATTAATGATATTAAATTACACTCGAACATATAGATGGTAAAAGAGATCTATAATCATTTCATAAACCTCAAATGTACTTTTATTTTGAATTTACATTTCTACATGTCTAATTATTATTCCAACAATGACCTATGGCTTGTTTCTTCGTAAGTTTTATTTTATAATGCAAAGAATAAGGGTAAAGAAAATTTAATGGCAGGAAATACTATCTAGTAAGGTCAACAAAAAAATATATGTGTTAAAGCTTTCCCAATCTTGAGTGAAACTTGACTGTGAGAATAATACTTAACCATCAATGACATTCTTCAAAGATAGACTTCAAGAAATTTAAAACTATGTTCGAGTCATGATAATTTAGTGAGATTTTTTCTTAGTCCTATGCTTTCTTATGAAATTGTGGGTTGAAGTGGTTAAAAATATAGTCATCGTCTTAATTTTATTCCAATCCTATTTTTGACTTTTTTTTGATGACGTGTCAACATTAGTTAGTAAATTCTAGAAACCAATTTGAATGATCACTTCTATTTAATACTTCAGTTATACTCCTGCATTCCACATCTAGCTATGAGGCTAATCTGTTGACATTTGGTTAATAAATATTCTAACATAATTCATTAGTTTCGACAAGAGTCCAATATTTACTTAAAATCACGTAGAGCTTTCTCATCTACCAAGTTGTTTCATGGTATGCATTGTATGCTAATAATTTAATAGAATTAACAGAAGTCAAGCAAGTCCCATTAAATGGGTCATTATATTCTTAGGAACACTATGTAGTTTGTGATATTTTCATTCTAAAACATGAAACATAAATTGTGTTTCTCTATGTTGTTGATAAACTTTTCTTACTAAATATCTCTGTAAATTCTTTATCATATAAGGATCTCTCATGAACTTTTTCAATCTATCAAGAGTCTACCTAGGATGAAGGCCTTTCTTCAGACATTTTCAAAACTTACATCGTTCATTGTCCTTTCCTAACATTTTTTTTCACAAATGCATTATTGTTTAGAAATTTTTTCTATTTTCACTGTTCAGATCTTCTAATTTTTTTCTATCATTTATTTACTATATTTTTTTTATTGTACATTAAGAGCACATAGTACACCCATCATGTATGCATTGATTATTGAATCGGCTTTATGTATAAAGGCAAGGCTTCTTCCCTTTTAGTGACAATGATGTCCTCTTTGCCTTTCTCTTGTGGTGCTAATATCAATTGCACCATCTCTACGGGCTCCAACATTAAAATTAAATTGGAGTGTTACCTCAAAGTTGATGAAAATTCCCCTCATCTGTCACCATTCATATCTTGTAACTCCTTATAGTCCTTAATTGCAACAAACCCTTTGACCCTTTCTCTTAGTGACTCTCTATCATTAGTGTTGAATCCTTAGTTTTGAGAACTTCCTGAATTAAAATATTAACATTTTAGAGTTAAATATGATTATAGACTATGTATTAAACCCTTAGTTTTGCAATGTCTTATTTATTGTGAATTAAATACCTAATCACTCAACTTTCAAATGATTAATTCACTATCATTTTGACTGATTGAAAAAATTTATGAATCCAAATCACCACCAACAAATTTTATGATCCTTTAGGAATAAATTACTTATTGTAGTCTTGGCAATTGATGAATTGTAAACAATTATGTAATGGTTTCATGCGCCACATTTTTAGTGCAAAATTAACACAGGACCATAGAAATATTTTTTTTACTTGAATTATTATCAATATATGATCAAGGAGATGGTTTAATGTAGTATTCCATAAAATGAAAAATAAATTATTGAAACCTGGTGTGATATAGAATAGTTACAATAGAAGTCATTCCTAGTCATTCCAAGACAACTTCAAATAAATGAAATTTATGAAAGGAGACTCTACCCTCACATTGAATAGTGATGAGAGGGAGAGTCAAAGCAACCTTCTACTAATTCACAAATCAGAATATAAAGCTGAACACATAGAAACATAAAGAAATAAACCAGTGCACAATCAAAGTTACTAAACTTTTTAAAAGAATTACCTAATAATTCAAGGAAGAATCTCACACTATTCAGATTTTGAAGATATCTTGCTAACTCATGAAGTTAACAATCATGAGGAAATTACACTCTAATATAGATATTAACTGTTGTAATCCAAATTTCTATACTAGGCCATTTAATAGTGACATAAGTTGAACTAGGAAAGACATTTTACCTAGCTGTAATGAAACATAGAGTTGTTTGATAGTTTTTAGCCATTAAGGCCATTATAGTGATAATGCCTAAACAAATTATCTAGTGAGTCATTAAATTTGTGTAAAGGATTGATTGCCCATTAGATATATGAGTGCTTGTTTCATGAGTACTAGAATCATATGATAGCAACGATAACTATAACAGCCCCCTCCCCCCTT